TTCTTTTTTCTAGCTCTCAAGAATCATTTTATACACAAATAATGGCTAGAAGGTAAAACAGACTTCTCCCCTCAGCATTGATAATATAACCTTGAAGTAGTCTTTTATCTGTGAATCAGACTAGAGCTATAGTTAGGAACCAAGTGAATTTAAGGTACAATGCAGCTGTATTAAATAAAAGCATGGCAGGTGGACACTTTAGTACCAAAATTTGGTGTCAACCTCTTTATACTTATGTAATTGCCAAAAAAGAGGAGAGAACAGCCAAGAAAGTAGGGAGCAAGAAAGATCATTAGCAACAAAGAACATAGAAGGCATTCCATTTTACTCTGTCCAGAAATCCAACCTCCACTGGCAATATCTTGGCCAACGATAAGACAACTTATCCGCAGTTGCCGGGTGTTGCAGATCTCAAGCCTTCCAACAGTTAAAATATTTACAGAGGGAAGACTCATCTGTCTCCACCCAGACAATACGGTTGACAAAAGTGCTCACAAACCCATTGAAATCCTCCTTCCTTTCATACATTGAGAGAAATAGTGGTTGGGGACTGAACACATCATTGGTCACATCACACAACCACAAGAGCATACTAGAAGCTGATACTTGTGAGGAGCCCACCATAGTCCATCCTTTGACAACTGCAAGAAGCAAGGAAAAAAGGAAGTGTCATACCAAATAGGAAGCAAATATACTTCATCATGCTTAAATTCAAAATATGGTACTAAGAATTATGCACAAGCTCTTAACACTTCAAAGCATTACTTTCCACAGAACGAAACTACTCATTCCTCTGTTTAAAGATGACACATATCCTAACGGCATATTAAAATCACATTTTCAGGAGGGAGAAACACCCCAAGTGTTAATTGATAATAGGAGAAAGATCCCAAATATATATATCCAAAATTTTGACTTATCTTCATTTTCTCCCGATCAATTAAAACTACAATTAAAAGATTATGAGTTGTCAAACACCTTCTTGCATGTGTACAAGGCCGGCAGAAGGGACGCGAGTTCGAAAAAAGAGCAAAAACTACATGGCAAAAGGAAAGTAAACAAACAAATAAGCAGCTCAACCACAGCAGGTCACATGCAATTTTGACGAAGTATTTCCAAGCACATCCCTAGAATCTAATCACTTTCCAGTGCTTATACATCATAATTGACAAAAATGGTTAACAGTTTAAATCATAAAGAAGACCATCATAACCACAAGTAAATGAATCTCATATCACCTTCAAGATCGCCAAGTTGCAGGTTTTTTTGCATTCCTACTGCCACGGTGATTGCTTGAACCTGTAACTCTCACTGTCCCATCCTCCCTCGGGTTCCTTCCTCTTCAGTAGACCTCCAGCTACAGGATACATCCTCCCATGCTCGTCCAGTTGCCTCGTTACCAACGAAACTGACTCTTCTTTCCCTTCCAAGTCCACAGCTCCAGGACCTGCATTCAGATCCAGACCTTGCCGGCTCCGTTTTCTGTTGTGGTCGGTGGCTCCATTGCTGTTAGCATCGGGAAGGGAAACCATATAAGGCCTTGGGTATTGAGGTGCCACAGCACCTAGCAACTGTGAATTTATAGGCGGAGTGAAAAGTCTTCCACCCGAGGATGAATCAATATAAGAGGTTGATCCAACAGCATATGTTCCAGAGGGAAGTGGGAAAGTAGTTCCAAAAGGGAACACAGGATACTGGAATGGGGCAGCGGGAAAAGGCATAGCAGGTGATGATGACAATACCGAACCCCTGAAAACATCTGGAGTATAAGGGGAACCAGCAGCAGATGGACCTAACATTCGCGGGGCACCGGGTGGGATTATTGGAAATGGTGGCTGCTCCCCCCGATCAGGCAACATTGATGGAATTGTCATCGTTGAGTAACTATTCCCTGGAGCAAACCAAGATGATAAGTTTCCCATTTCTGGATTGTTCATTCTGAGGCTAGAAGCATTTAGTTGGGAGCGCATGTTTCCCTGATGACTCTGGTGGAATAGAGGCTGTTCTGCACATGAATCATCAACACCAGGCCCATTATTCAAATCAAAGTCCCTCCTCACTTCTGCAGTTGGCAAGATACTGGATGAAGATGCTCTTGCGGGAAAAACAGCACCCTCTAATCTATGACTGCTACTCAAGGAGCATTGACCTACATCATTAGGTTCATCAACTCTATTCAAATCGAGATCAAGTCCTCCAAAACTACGAAGAGGGCCTGAACATTTATTTTTTGATGAAACAAGATTAGTTATATGGTCCACCGCAGAACCTATTGCTAAAGCACAATCCTGAGAATTTATATCCTCCAAAACTCTTTCATCAGCTACATTCAGATCAATATCTAATGGAGGTCGACCATGCTTGCTGGAGGAAGCTTCAGTAACAGAGATGGTCATGGAATTTGAATGCATGTCAGGGGGTTTTCTTGGCTCAGCCGGACGAAATGCACTTGTGGCTGCTGATCCTTTCCATCCAAACTCCCCTTTGACTCTCAATAGATCTTCTGGTGGGACAAAAGGTCCTTTGGCAGCAGCAGCCACCGTAATGGAAGCAGGAAGGCTACTGGAAACAGAAGAGACAGCAAATGTTGATGGGCTCATTATTTGGACATTCGACAAACACCCAGGGCCTGTCGAGTTGATTGACTCCCCATATTTCCCCTCATCAGAAATAAAACCTTCATTTAAGTCAAACTTCATCTTTGAAGCTGAATCTGGGGCAGCAGCAGCAGAGCTTGAAGAATTTTCCCCTTTGATGGATACGCATTCCTTTGGTCTATCTGCCTCTACACCAGAGTATTTAGATTCTCTTGATTCCAAATTTTCCACTTCTGCATTAGAAAATCCAGGTGTCTCTTTCTTAGTAAGTAATCCACTGCCAGAATCATGCTTCGTCATCTCTTCAGCTTTAGGTTCATCCTTTGTCAAATTCCTTATAGCTAAATTACATTCAGATGCGGCTTTATCCTCAATAACTGAAGTATCAACAGTCTTTTTATCAGAATTTGGCTGTTCTGACTTTAAAACACTATTTGCATCCATTTCATCAGAATGTCCACCTTTCCCTGCAATAGTGTCTCGACTAGAACCAGTTTGTTGCAACTCTTCCTTGTCACCTCTTTCTGTAGCTTCAGATTTCACCACAACTGAAGGCGGTTTCACCTCTGTACTAGCAACACCTAACACCCTACTCACATCATTTTTGTCGTCGCCCTCATATTTAAAAGCAGAAATTCCAACTGGTCGTTTCAAGCCTTCTATGCTTACAAGGCCATTAGTGACTTTGTCCTCTCCTATTGAACTACCATGTCCACCTGATTCGCCATCTAGAACATTATCAAGTGTCTTAGTGGAAATTACTTTTTCCTCATGGAATTGTCTGCTCTGTTCACCATCACTTGCTTTTTCGAATACATTGCAAGGAGCCGCAGCAGACTTTGCCATCTCAACTAACTTCTCATTAACACCTGATTTCAAATTTCCAGCCATCTGTGAATCAGTGCAGGATGAATTAAAGCACTCTCCCGTGGTTGTTTCTTCAGAAGGAGATGAAGAGGGCCTTCTTTCTCTGTTAAAATCCGTCATTGCACTTCTATTAGCATGTACTTTACCCTCAGACCACGACGTATTAGCAACAACGAACTGTTTCTCTTTATCACCATTAGCATCACCGTCATTTCGCCCACTATGGTTACCTGAAGAACTATCTACAGGAGATGTCTTTGGCTTAAGCTCATCACCTGTGCAGGTCTCCCCACCTGAAGGGCTATCTCCTTGGGGAGAAACAAAAGGTGAAACCCTTCCAGACTTGGACATTTCTTCAGTAGCTACACTGGCTAGCAGATTCATTCCAACAGCATCACTTAGAGACATGGATGCATTTGCTTCAGAATATTTTGCACAGCTCTCAATCAATGCATTCATGGAGCTGAATGAAGCTTCGTGCAGCTTTCCTGACTTCAATTCAGTTCCTGATGATGAAGAACCAGGTTTGGCAACTTCAGCTGATTTCCTGCCCTCACCAGCAGTTTTTCTCCGTTCTTCCTCCAGAACAGCAACAGGTGATCCATCACC